ATAGCCTGGCCGTAATTTTATATAACACTTTAAAAAAAGGAATTATTTATTTAATTCCATTTGTTATTATTTTTAAAAATTTGAGCAGAGAGAGAAAAAAGAAAAGGGAGAGAGCAAGCTATCAGGTCCGGGACTTGAACAGTGGTCGGCCATGTGGGAATCCAGTGCCTTTAATCACCGTGCCACCTGCTGGCCCATTTACAACACTTTTTAAGATTTGTAATGCTATGCTTCAACTGCAGATTGTCATATCAGGTCAAGTATGTTCATTTCCACTTGTGGCATCATGTCAGTGCTCAGAAAGTTTTTAATTTTGAAGCATTTCAGGTTTTGGATGCTCAACTTGTATTTGAATTTAAGTTCTGAGATAGTACCTAGTGTGGAGAGAAAAATGTTGCAACTTTTTTCGCCAAATCAAAATTTCCATTCAAAAAACTTCATATTAATTTGAACAGCATAAGGTGTGATTATAAAAAAAAGTGACAGAAGTTTATAATATAGTTGAATCTGTAGAGCAATCATGTTATTGTAGCCTTGCATCCTGGCAGTGATACAGATAGCACCAATTAATGTTGCTCAAGGTAAGCATTGTACCGCACTATCTCATGTGATCTTCGTAACAACCCTGTCAATGTGGGAACTACTGTATTAATCCGCCAAGATACCTGAGTGCCTAGTTGGTGATGGTGCTGTGAGGACACAGTGCACCAGAAGAAAAGGTCCTTGTCACAGTGTAGTGGGGAACCAAAGACCTCAGAATTGTGAGCCATGGTGAGTAACAAGGTCCCATGTTAGATGGGTTTATCAAGACATGAGGGGTGTGTGTGTGTGGGGGGGCATAGCATCCTTTGAAGAAAGAAAGGATTCTAGACAGTCCTGTGTGTATCACTTTTTGTCCTGTCAAGTGGCTTTTTATGTAGCTTGTTCTTTCCCCAGGTAAGTCATAGAACTTATGCAGGACAGGCTCTGTATCAAATTCCTCCTTGTGTCCTTTACTGTTCCTAGCACAGAATAGTTCCCATAAATGTCACTGGTGTAGATTAGTGCATGGATGTATGGGTAGAAGGTGTGTAGTGTGTAAGACCTCACATCTTCTCTCTGATGTTTTCAAGATGTCAATCAACAAATGTTTATTGACTATCTTGTGTGCAGAGTGCCTGTTAGGGGTTGGGGTTAGAAAAGTAAAACAAGCTTAGCCTCTGGTTCCCCCACCTCCAACACACACACACACACACACACACACAGAGTCTGTGGAGCTCATTGGGTGAGACTTCTCAAGAAGAATGTGCTGCTTAATGGGGTGTCCGGTCTGGCGTTAGGGTGGATGTGAGCAGAGGCTTGTGGGGGGGTGGGGTGGGGGGAGCCTGGAAAACTCAGTGTCTGCAAAAAGGCCCAGTCTACAGAGAGATCCATCTGGTGGAGGGACCACTGGCAGGCTCATGTTTTTCTCTAATGGTGCCATGCAGAAATACAGGCTCTGGGTGAGTGATGGACAAGGTTTGAGCCTCTTTGCACAGGTAACGTTTGTTGCAAATTCAAGAACAGACTGTCTCAGAGCCCCAACATTTGTGTGTGGTTTTCCACAATGGCCCATGGTGAGCGCTCTTTCATCCAGCCTGCGCTGTACCCTGCAGAAGCCTGCAGACAGCATCATTAACAGCAACACACATTTCTACAGGATTCGCCTCTTCAAACCCCGCCCCTGAGAAGTCATAGCTTCTTTAATGTCCTGCTGGCTATGTGGAAAACAGGAATTTATGTAACAAGCCCTGCACAGCAAACCTTTTCCTGTTCGGAAAAAAATTTTTTTAATTGTTGGCACAGTTAGGAGACAGCTCTGTTACTCAAAGAGCGACCTGAAATGTCCTCTTAGAAAAATACATAGTGTGATGTTTTGATAAGTAAGGGTTTGCTGTGGCTTTTTGTTTTTAAGTCTTAGTAGTAAATTAGTGTACATCCCACCTGAGTTTAGGGAATGTTTGAACTTTTTAAGATAGTATTTTGACATCTTCTGCAGTCATGTTAAAAACAGCCCCAGCTGCTCTTACAGATGATCAGACAGCCCCATGAGGGGAGGGGGTTGTAGAGCTGTACCCCCTTTCCCAAGTCAGTACAGACAACCAGGAAACTACTATCTGGGAAGATCTTTCTCTCCCCTTTATCATTAAGTAAATGTGACAGGGACAGGAGTCAAGCTTCCTTTCCTCCAGAGATTTCATCTGAGCTTATCTGTGTGTCTATTGTGTTCAAAGAACAAAAACTGTCATGATGGAATATTGTACAAATGGCCAGACTTCCAGCATAAAGAAAACCTTGCAAGGGTCAGAGTGCTCGGCTGCATTCCAGTGCTACCCAATGCCAGGCCTGCCTCTTGTAGGAGGGAATCAAGAACTTGGTATGTTGGTGTGATGGGCACAGCAGGTAAGGTTGTGGCTCTGCAAGCATGTGTGTGTATATGTGTGTTGGTACCTGCCCATAGGGTTTTGGAGACCCTAGTGGCATGAAGCAGTACATGAGGAGAGTGTAGCCCTTAGCCTCTTTTAAAGATTCCTGTATGGAGTTAAAGCCTCCCAGCATGTCTTGAGTTGGGGATGGATCATAGATGAGAAGGAGGGTAGTCTTGGGAATAGGAGACTGCCATATGCTCACACATTTGAACAGTATCCAGCTGGGAAGTTCCCGTTCTGGCAGTGTCTGACCTGCTGTCCCTGTGACAAGCTTTGACAGAAGGACTTGTCACATAGCTGTTGTGTTGCAATCCTTGGGTGTAATGTAGTATGGAGGGTCAGAGAGCATTTTGAAATGTGGATTTCTCAGATTTTGGAATATTTGCATATACGTTATTGAATATTTTGGGAGTGAGACCCCACTCAGACTTTGGTATCTCCTTTTACAAAGTGAGACCAGCCTACTCCTTTTTGTTTTGTACCCCCTTTTAATGAAAAAAGACTTGAGCTCATATTTCTGCTTGGAGCCACCTTGGAGCCTGGCATTGTCCTGTTGTGCAGAGGCTCAGTTCAGACTCTGTGGTCGTGGTCGGCACTCAGGCATTTGCACCCCTGTCAATGGCATGAGGATGTGGGTGTTGTGGCTGCATCCCTAGGTGACCACAAATCCAGCCAGAGCCTTTTTGTGGTTGAGAAGAGGGGCAGTGGGGACTCAGGGTGCTCTGTCAGTGCAGCCTTGCACCCACTTGGCAAAGGAGGCCAAGAAAGCTCGGGCAATAGGTACACAGTCCTGCCCCCAGCGGTCTCGGGCATCCAGAATCTGCTCCTACACTTGAGATCAGGCTCTTGAGGAAAAAGGTTGCTGAATTAGCAGAGCGAGTATGCCCTGTCCTGTCCATGTGTGACTCACTCTGTGTTGAGCACATGAATCACACTGGGGCTTTCTCATCTGCAGCCTGACTCCAGTGTTTCTACTGAAGCTTGAGAAACTATTTGTAGTTGTGGGTTTGTGTTTGTAATACCTCTAAGTGCCAGCTCATGCTCATTGAATAGGAACAGAGAAGTAGTACTTCGCTTGGCCTCATCCTATGAGGGGGTCTGATCTCTTCTTTATGGTGACTGCTTGGTACATGCCAGGTACCACTGAGCATTTTAGATGTCTCAGTCTGTAAAACATCCTATAAGGCCTTATTTGTTTATTCTTGTTTTCCTAAGGTTATGCAGTTTATAAGTACCAGAGATACTTAGGTGCTCAAGAGAGTTTGATTTTCTTTACTAGTTGACCTAGGATATTTGTTGTATAATTGGATTTGTACCTGTATAGTGACTTGAAGTCTTGAGCTCTCCACTTTTTCCCTTCCAAACTGTCTTGTTGGGCTGAGTATAATTCTTACTGGAGGTAGTTGGATGTACTACTCATACTGCTGGTTATTTGTCTGGGAAAGGGTGAGCTGGGGTGGGGAATTGCTTGAATTTAAACTTTGCTGCTGCTTCCTTTTTTCTTTGGCAAATGGAAAAACAATGATTCTTCTATATTCACTTCTAGACTTTAAAGGTGTAAGTGAATCTAGGTCTTACTGGTCTGGGGGCTTTTAATTCCTGACTGGGAACATACTCCGCTTCTTCTCTTCTTTTCCCATAATTATGTGGGCTTAGTAATATAAAAATCCTCACTTTGTGTAAAATGGCCTATGTTTAGTCTAAAGAGAATTGGCAGTTGTTTTAGGGGTAGTAGGATGGAAAAGGTAGTAGGATGGATAGCATTTTCGGTAAGCAAAATTTAAGTAATTTTTAAACTAGTAATGTATAATTTTGTCCCCTCATTAAATTAAGATATAGATACTATTCAAGATACTGTTTTTCCTATAGTGGCTTGAGGTCTTTTGTAATGGTTCAGAACCATTATGATTGTTTAAATAAAGATTTACACTGGGACCAGCAGCTAGCATAATGGCTATGTTGATGGATTCCCATGTAGTCGGCCATGGTTCGAGTCCTAGACCTGGTGGCTTAAACTCATGCCAGGTCCATGTGCATATGTGCCCGAGATCCTGAGAGGAGAATGGAAGAGAAGGGATTGCGGCATGGCCATCCCCCCTGGAGGGTGATTTCTCGCTTTCTGTCTCTCTTTCTGGGGAGTGCACGCACCCTGTATGAAAAAAAGAAAAACTCTCAAAAAAAAAAAAAAAGATGTAGACCATAAATTCCCTTTTTTTTTAAAAAAAGAGATTTTTGCCATATGGCGCATGCGCTTGCCAGAGAGAAACAGAGAAACAGAAATCGCCTCCCCAGGGGGGATGACCATGTCACAATCCCTTCTCCATTCCCTGGTTGGGATTTTGGGGGCACACACATGCACCTGTGTCCAGCATGTTTCAAGATGCCAGGTCCCGGACTCAAACCATAGTCACTATATGGGACTCCAGTGATGTAACCATTACACCATCTGTTGATCCCATGCTCTAAATATTTTGTGTGTCTTAATGTAATACATGTTGAATACTAAGCTTTCCAAATGGAGATTCTCTTCTAACACGATGTTTTGCTTTACAGAATTCAATTCGTCATAATCTGTCTCTACACAGCAAGTTCATTCGTGTGCAGAATGAAGGAACTGGAAAGAGTTCATGGTGGATGCTCAATCCAGAGGGAGGCAAGAGTGGAAAATCCCCCAGAAGAAGAGCCGCATCCATGGACAACAACAGCAAATTTGCTAAGAGCCGAGGCCGAGCTGCCAAGAAAAAAGCATCCCTCCAGTCTGGCCAGGAGGGTGCTGGGGACAGCCCTGGGTCTCAGTTTTCCAAATGGCCTGCAAGCCCTGGCTCTCACAGCAATGATGACTTTGACAATTGGAGTACATTTCGCCCTCGAACTAGCTCAAATGCTAGTACTATTAGTGGGAGACTTTCTCCCATTATGACTGAACAAGATGATCTTGGAGATGGGGATGTGCATTCTATGGTGTACCCACCATCTGCAGCAAAGATGGCCTCTACTCTACCCAGTCTGTCTGAGATAAGCAATCCTGAAAACATGGAAAACCTTTTGGATAATCTCAACCTCCTCTCATCACCAACATCATTGACTGTTTCAACCCAGTCTTCACCTGGCACCATGATGCAGCAGACACCATGCTATTCGTTTGCACCACCAAACACCAGTCTGAACTCACCCAGTCCAAACTACCAAAAATATACGTATGGCCAATCCAGCATGAGCCCTTTGCCCCAGATGCCTATGCAAACACTTCAGGACAACAAATCGAGTTATGGAGGTTTGAATCAGTATAACTGTGCACCGGGACTCTTGAAGGAGTTACTTACTTCTGATTCTCCTCCCCATAATGATATTATGACACCAGTTGATCCTGGGGTAGCCCAACCCAACAGCCGGGTCCTGGGCCAGAATGTGATGATGGGTCCTAATTCAGTCATGCCAGCCTATGGCAACCAGGCATCTCACAACAAAATGATGACTCCCAGCTCCCATACCCACCCTGGACATGCTCAGCAGACAGCTACAGTGAACGGACGTGCCCTGCCCCACGCGGTGAACACCATGCCTCACACTTCGGGTATGAACCGCTTGACCCCACTGAAGACACCTTTACAAGTGCCTCTGTCCCACCCCATGCAGATGAATGCCCTGGGAGGCTACTCCTCCATGAGCAGCTGCAATGGCTATGGCAGAATGGGCATTCTCCACCAGGAGAAACTCCCAAGTGACTTGGACGGCATGTTTATTGAGCGCTTGGACTGTGACATGGAGTCCATCATTCGGAATGACCTCATGGATGGAGATACATTGGATTTTAACTTTGACAATGTGTTGCCCAACCAAAGCTTCCCACACAGTGTCAAGACAACGACACATAGCTGGGTGTCAGGCTAAGAGTTAGTGAGCAGGTAAGTTCACCCCAATAACAAAAGACCTCTAGAAAATAGAACTTGAAAAGGAGGAACACAGTAACTTGCCAAGTATCTTCTATTGTAAGGACTTTTTTTATGTCAGCCCACTGCCCCTTGCAGAAGCATCTTTTATCATTCATTCTCCGCCCTTTTGCAGTTTTCCAATTTTCCTTTTTCCCAAGGAAGCCTGTTTTTTTTAATGGCTTTAAAGATTTTCTTTTGACAGTTATATGGCTGCATTTTCTTAGTAGCTCTTCAATAAATGAATACATTTGATACAAATCAAATGCTGAAGGGCTTTTTTTGAAAGTGGAATTTTCCCCATTGAATGATTTTAGAGCTATTTGAGAAAGCTCTAGCCTTTTTTTCTCTAAGTATGTCTGTCACTCTAGTATGTTAAGTTGAATTGATTTTTAATTCGGCTGCATTTTCATTGTGTGTGTTTGTGTGTGTATGTGTGTTTTTTTCCCCCCCTAGGCTACACTTAAAAGTACTTCAGATTGTCTGACAGCAGGAACTGAGAGAAGCAGTCCAAAGATGTCCTTCACCCCTCCTTTTAGTTTTCTTGATTTAAAAAAAAAAAAATAGTATTTCTTTTTTTCCTTTCGTCAGACTTGGCAGCGAAGACACTTTTCCTGTACAGGATGTTTGCCCGATGTTTGCAGGTTATGTGCTGCTGTAGATAAGGACTGTGCCATTGGAAATTTCATTACAATGAAGTGCCAAACTCACTACACCGTATAATTGCAGAAAAGACTTTCGGACCCTGGTGTGCTTTCAAGTTTTGTATATAAGCAGTAGATACAGAATTGTATTTTTGTGTGTATGTGTGTGTTTTTTTTAAAATATCTATCTGGTCCAAGGAAAGTTTATACTCTTTTTGTAATACTGTGATGGTCTCATGTCTCGGTAAGTTAAACTTCTGTTTGTACTACCTGTGTTCTGCTGAACTGATGAATCACAAAGAACCAAGATCTGCATTCTGCACCTCTGCCGAACAGCTTTGGACCTGTGTTCATGTTGCCACATAATTCACATGAGAACCAAGTAGCCTGTTACCAATCTGCTGAATTAATGGACTTGTCAGTCTTTTGGGGGGAAAAATAGATTAATGCCAGCCTTGTACAGGTCTTTTCTATTTTTTTGTTTGTTTATTTTGTTATTTGCAAATTTGTACAAACATTTAAACGGTTCTAATTTCCAGATAAATGATTTTTGATGTTATTGTTGGGACTTGAGATCATTTTTGGATTAGATAACTGTAATGTTTTCTTAAAACTAAAGTCTACTTTGTTACATAGTCTGCTTGTAAATTTGTGGAATCATAGGTATTTGGGGGGAGCATTCATAATTTTCATTTTGTATTTCTAACTGGATTAGTACCAATTTTATATGTGCTTAACTGATTTGTACACTTTGGGATGCTACTTGGTGATGTTTCTGACTAATCTTAAATCATTGTAATTAGTACTTGCCTACTCAATGTTTCTGGCCTTGTTTGGGCAGGAAAGTGATGTATAGTTATGGACACTTTGCATTTCATACTTAGGAGAACTTACTATGTTTTATGTGTGTATTTTAAAGAAATTTCATCTGCTTCTGTTACCCTGTGAACTAAGCTCACTGCATAAGCATGATAGGTGCTTATGTGATGTGTTTGACAGTTATTCCTGGGAGGCCTCATAATGTTTGTAGGTCAGAATGGGAAACTTCCATCTAAAACAAGACTTCTTTGTCACACAGGAGGTTTTGATCAGCTAAATAACTTTTCTCAGTTGCACTTCAGCATAAGTTTCCCCTCCTAATTCTGTGCTCTTATTTTGGTTCAGGTGAAGAAGGTTGGTTTTGTAGCTATGCCTTGAGGAATTCTGTCAACATTCACTCTTCATCCCTTTTTATCTTCTCTCCTACAGATTAGCATGCTGTGGAAGTTTAAGTTGAAGAAAAATTTTTAAATGAGACTTAAGTGATTCGTAGAATGCCTTGTGTTCATAAGTATAGAGGGCTGCCAAATGGAATAGAACTTGTTTAAAAATTAGGACACTTAATTTGAAAATTAACAAACCGGCTGTAAGTTGTACATTTGAGTTTATTTTAAAAGCCATAGCTTCAGTTATGAATTTGAGAATCTCTTTAGCCTTCAGCAACCTAAACTACAATTCAGATCATTGTTCTAATACTTTACAATTACCTCTAACTGACAGATCAAGCTAATTGACTTTGAAGCCCATTCATCCCATCACTATTTTTAAGCCTTGTGAAATACCTGAATTCATCTCAATAAAAATAGAACAGGTACATAGCATTGTTCCTCTTGACCATTTGAGAAGGCTCTGATTTCTGTGTACATAACCCAAATCACACTTAGTTTGTCTTGTATGTTAATTGGCTCGATTTTTTTCCTACATGTTTTACAAGAACCCCAGTGTTCCTGATAAACTTCCTACAGTAGGCCAGCTCTATTGTAAGCTTTCACTGTGGCTTTTACTACTTTGAAAATTCACTCAACAGCCATCACTCTAACCATCTTCACTGTTGGGCACTCCATATATGGCTGGTTTTAGAGACCTTAGTTCCCTCTAAGTAGTGCCTCCTGCCTGTGAACTAGAATTTGGTGCCAAAGTGCTGTCGTTTTCATTTCTGTTACTGTGCATTCTTGCTTTCCTTCCATGCTGGTACTTCACCATTACACAAGGAGTCACAAGCCCCCATTAGTTCAGTAAAAGGCACCTACAGCGAAAAAAAAAAATCACTGTTGAAATCTTACTACTTCATGAATGACTTTTATAAAGATGTTTCTTCCTCTTGAGTCCATATAAATATCCCCCCTATCCCAAATTTTTGTGTTGAAATGCTAACATGAATCGTGGGTAGATCTCTGAGATACAGGGAAAGGCAGCTTGTGTGTTTTGAAAAGCAAACATTATGTGGCCTCTGGTAGGTTTTGTTTTTTTTTTCTCCTGTAAGAATACTGACTTTGGAGGAATTAGTATATCAGTTATTGTACATGATTGCTTTGTGAAATGTGCAAATTATACCACCTATGCAGCCTTGTTTGATTTATTTTTTCTGGTTTGTACTGTTAATTAAAAGCATATTGTATTATAGAGCTATTCAGATATTTTAAATATAAAGATGTATTGTTTCCGTAATATAGATGTATGGAATATATTTAGGTAATAGATGCATTACTTGGAAAGTTCTGCTTTGACAAACTGACAAAGTCTAAATTAATTAGCAAATGTTGTATCCCAGTGAGCAGTAAATCAATGGAACATCCCAAGAAGAGAATAAGGAAAAACTGGAAACAGTTCTCTAAAAGTATACAATTTGGATTTGTTCAACTGTTGAATATGTTATTCACCCCCCCCCCAATTCCCCCAAAAACTTGAAATTATTTCAGCTCTTAAGAGTTCTTAATTTATAACTGATTTTAAATGAGAAGTTTCTCCTGTGGTTTTAGTTTGAGAGTAATCATTTGATAAAAAGCATGTGGTTTATGCAAACAAAACAGCCTGGCATTATTACACTTGGCCTCTCCTCGAGATGAGGCCCAGCCTGGCGGTGTGATCAGGGATGGCCGTGTAAGTTCCATCAGGAAGTAATCACATCCTGCTGCATTTTGCTACCCGAGTTTAGTAACAGTGCAGATTCCATGTTCCTGTTCTGATACTCTCTGAGAAGTGCCTGATGATGCTGGTGTATTTACAGACACAAGAACAATCTTTGCTATAATTGTATAAAGCCATAAATGTACATAAATTATGTTTAAATGGTTTGTCGTCTTTCTTTTCTAATTGTGTGAAATAAGCTCTTTATTAGGAATTTATTTATTTATTTAATCAAACTATCAAGTACTTGAGTTAGACCTTGTCAGCCACAGTGTCATGGTTTAGTCTAATCTGGTATTTCCTTTGGAGGGAAAGGGGAACAATCCCTCTGGGGGTCAAACTATAGCTCCTGAGATGAAGAGCAAGTACATTCCATGATGACAAATAGCCCTGGAGAACTTTAGCTTTGGAATATCCGAAACTACATTTGGTCCAGTAGTTTTTAGGTATATTAAATCTCACATTAGAACACAGACTGTGTTAAAAGAACACCTTGAGGGCAAGTTAGGAGGGTCCTGGTTAGGAGGTACAGAACAGACCCTGGCAGGGACTGGACCCCAAGGCCACATGTCACTGTACACACCTTGCTGAAGGAGGACTCCTGTTCAACCTCTATTAAGTGGCTTCAGAGTGGAGGTGTTACATGTTTGCTTTTTTTCAGAAAATGCCTGAGGGATGAACTAGGATTAGATTAACATGGCTAAAATGTATTTTGAAACCACAATGAAGCCATCCCTTCTTAGTTCTGACACTTTACCAGGCAAGTGAATAACTGAGTTTGAGTTGAGAGGCAGTAGGCTATTCTTTTTTTTTTGGAGAGGTTTTTGCTATAGGGCGTGTGCGCTCACCAGACAGACAGAGACAGACAGACAGAAAGCGAGAAATCACCCCCCGAGGGGATGGTCACGCTGCAATCCCTTCTCCTCTGTTCTCTCGGGATCTTGGGCACGCACACACATGTGCCCGGCGTGAGTTTTAAGCTACCCGGTCCAGGATGTGAACCACAGTCGACTACATGGGAGTCCAGCGACATAGCCATTACGCTAACTGCTGGTCCCGGCAGTCGACTATTCTAAGTGTTTATCTGATTAGACACTGTAAGGTCAGTCTGGCATTCAGGGTTGTGTTTTTTTGTTTTTGTGCAGCTTTTTTGTTTGTTTTTCTTTTTTCTTTTTTTTTTTTTTTTTAAATTTCTCCTTCCAGCTGTGGAATCTTTTCTTTATAAGATACAATTATAATAGGGCCAACTGATAGCATGGTGGTTGAGATAGCTTGATCTACCATGGGTGGCTGCGTGGTTCAAGTCCTGCACCTGGCCACTTGAAAAATGCTGGGCACGTGTGCATGTGTGCCCAAAGTACTGAAAGAAAAAGAAGAGATTGGATTGTGATGTGGCCCCCTGGGTTGCTTTCTATTTCTCTATCTTCTCTCTCTCTTTCTCGTGAGTACACATGCCCACTAGCAAATTTCCTTTAAAAATGGAAAAAATAGGGACTAGCAGATTGCATAATGGTTGTATCTCTGGACTTCACGTAGTAGAAGTACTGGACCTGACAGCTTAAAAATTCATGCCAAGCTTGTGTGCCCAAAATCTTTAGAGGAGAAGGGATTGTGGCGTGGCCATCTTCCACGGGAGGTGATTTTTCACTTTCTTTCTCTTTCTCCCTCTCTCTCTGTGGTGAGCTTACGTGTTTTATACCAAAAATCTCTTTTTTAAATAAAGAAATGGAAAAATTAAAGACAAGGTAGTTAGAAGCCCAGTGTGTAGGACAGATGAAGGTACCTGTTTCCAGACCCTGAGCTCACACTCTGGGGTCATACACAGATCAGTTTTCAAACTGAATCAAACTAGCAAAAATGTAATACCGCCAGAACCTGATCCGGCTGGCCTTTCCTAACTCTGCATCTACACAAAGCTGTGTACCTTCTGTCACTTTGGGAGATGATTTTTACGTTTGATGTTACTTGATAAGCAAAAGAGCAGAAAGGTTTTTCTGATGGATCCCACTGAGGAGCTCAATGCTTAACTCTTAGGAGGAGAGACTTCCTTCTTTTGGACAGTGTTTAGGCCCCCATTGTGGCCAGAGATGGCCTCAGATTCAGGATGTATACCTAGGATTGTTTCTTAATTTGCGAACCAGGAACACTGGAGGGCTTTTCTTGGTTATTATTTTCCCCATGTTTGAGGTGACCCATAACAACGAGGGTACTTATTACATTTACCCACTTGGTGTGGTTAGCTTAGGTAGGTGGAGTGCTGTTCCAAGAGATGTTCATCTGAAGTAGTCGCATCACATGCCTATTGAACCTCGTGTCATTTGACAGTGCTTATTACCAGCTCATGCGTCTGCAGCTGGACTCTGACCTCTCAAATGTATTCACGGTCGGTTTATAATTTATCATGATTTTTAATTTCTCACTTGTAATTTATATCATTTCACTATTTTGGTGTAAAAATTGCTCTGGTGAGAGTTCATATACATGCATTTTCTAGTTCGGTAGCTGGGAAAGTGAAATTCCGGTGGAATAGAAAGGGAGATAGGTATATATTAAGATTAAGGAAGGAGACTGGGATTCCTGGGTGGTGGTGGGTGGTACGGTACCTCAGAAAACCAGACGTGAGATGGAGCTGCTGAAGAGAGCGCCAAAGGCATTGGAATCCTAGAGGAAGCTACAGAACATTGTTTCTGGTTTTTTGAAGCCAGCTGGAAAGGCACTTTCTGTCAGGTGCCTGCCTTTGGCAGAATGGCTATGGGGGGGAGGAAGCTGTGCACTGAGAAGGCATCATCTGTTGCGGGAACAATGGCAAAAAGGAGATTGGGGCCAACTCTCTTAGACTTTGGCCAACTTTCCTTAGCTTGACTGGTGGCAGGACACTGCCCTTCTCTCTTCCCTGAACTTTTAAAAGACTGATGGAGATTTTCTTGCCATTGGTTGCTTTATGACCTCATCTCCCCAAAGTGAGTCTTGTTTGCATTGGAAGCCACTGGTGAAAAGTAGATTAATATTCTTCAGGAAGAAAGAGGGCAAGTTGGTGATACTTGTTATTTATTCATTACTACTTCCATGATCTTCAGTTCCCAGACAAGCATCATTGAGAATTCCCACAAGTAAAAAGTTGCAGATGGTAGCATAGGGACCATGTTGGGTTCTTGGAGTAGGAGTTTCTGCAAACATTCCTTAGGGTTGTAATATTATTAAAATTGCTATCCAAATGAGGTGACCTTAGATGAGACAGCTGCTTAAAATAGGGCTTACTGTGGGCCATCCTAAACCAGATTTTTCTCTTTGATAAAGCAGAATAGGGGAGGGATACATTTGCACTTCAGTACTTGGCTCTACAATAAGCCAGGCAGGCCCATTAGTTGGTGCTGATGTTGGGGCACTTGCAGTAATACCTGCTCTGGTGCTTGAGCAGCATTTCCCCACAGATAGGTAAGTTGAGGATACCTTATGCTACCTGCCTCACAGGTTTAGTGTGAGGATTAGAGGATGAGGTAATGTCTCAGAATGGCTTCCTATGTCAGGGAGAAAGGCTGTATGGATGAGCTGGTGTCAGCTTAGGTAATAGTAGGCCTTAGGGATTTGCTTTCTTAGTGGGGTATCTGGACAGTCAGCATCTCCCTGCAGGATAATAGGAGAGCTGTTTGGTTCATTTCCAGCATCTGTGTGCCCATTTGCTGTGCTTCATTTCTTAAGGGGTATGTAGACAATTCAGCAGACTCAGAGGGTTAATAAGCTTCCCTTTTTGTTGGTAACTCTAGAATAGAATTTATTGTTCACTCATAGTAAATTGTAAACCTATTGTGTTAGTATAGACTTGGGATCTTTGCTTCCCAAGAAGTTCTCTATGAATCCATGCTAAAAAAGTGAATTTAGGTAACTTAACCTTGCTTGACCTGACCCCGATTCCGAGTAGACTGGAGGACTCCAATTTCATGGACCTTTTCCAGGCTGTTCATCTGTAAGACAGGAGGGGATGAGAGATGGCTGATGGTGAGGGGGGTCACAGTGGAGCGCTGGATCCCAATCCCTGGGTTACAAGAATAGATAGTAAAACTTGCAGGACTTTTGTTAACCAATTTTACATGCCTCTGTTAGTTAAATGCAATAAACTTAACAACCAATTATATTTAAAACAAAGGTAGTAAGTACTCAGAACGCATCGCTTTCTAATTGTTGGGCTACATTTTACTCTTGTCTGCTGTTGAGGTTCTTTACACAGGACGTACCTATCTGTATGATGGGGACACCGATGGTGTGCTGCTGTTTAGGAACTTAATTTGAATGAAAGTGAAAAATAGTTTTAACAATTAAATCACATCCATTATTTTTATTGAGAAAATGTACTGAGAAAAGGGATTGGAATGCAAGTTCATTGGTCAAATCCTGGCTGAATTGCTACTCTACATGGCAGATGAAAGTTTGGCAAAAAGTCATTGAAAGCATTCTGTGAGAGTCAATTGGCCAAATGGAGAGTTTTATATATGAGGAGGTTTCAAAAAATTTATAGAAAATACAAATGTGTATTACAAAAAAGCTGCACGGGTTTCAGAATTTTACACCAAAATTAATTCAATACTTTCTGTTTTTTCCCCAACCTTTTTGAAGTGCCCTCGTATTTTTATTAGTTGTGAATCATAGGCTATACCTCTTTTGTAAGTAGTCACAGTAAACGTGTACATACATACAGGCACATGTTATTGTCCTACAGATCAGCTTAAGCATTTACTAGTGCACCACTGCTTGAGTGTATAAAGGCATTGAACGTTTCAAAAGAACAGACAGAATGAAAATAAGGGAGCAAGTGGTTGAGGGAGGTGCAGGTTGTGGTCATGGCAGTGGGTGATGAGAAGCAGTGAGATATAAAGCCCTAAAGTAGAATAAGGGAGTGAAAAGGCCTCAAGATTGGGTGCCACATGCAAATTAGATGTAAGAGCCAATGAGACAGCAGGACTTGGAAAAAAAGAAGACTTACATTTCGGTGCCAAAACCTTTAAATTGGGGGAAAAGGATGACTTTGGCTGGAAGAATACACAGTGGAGTAGCTGCATATAATAAGCAACCCAGCGTTAACAGGGTGGAAGAGGAAGATTCTGGAGTTGGAAAAGGAATGCAAAATGATGCCAATTCTGCTTTTGAGATTTATTGTTTGTCAAATGGGAAT